TTTCATGTAAATATTCAAAAACATTTAACCTACTGATGCCTCAATTAATGTAATTTTATTGGTATCTATTTTTATTTTGAAATTTGCCCGTAGCGACTGCATTTCCCACCCTCAGCTTATACTCGGGTCAATACGTTTTCCCAGTTTTTTATGGTTAAAATTAGGTTCCTCAGCTATTCGGATTAGTTTATACTCAGTAGATATAGAATCATAGAGTTGGAAGAGACTCCCAAAGGCCATCCAGTCCAACCTTCTGCCATGCAGGAATTTATAAGTCAAGCCCTCCCAAAAATGGTCCTCCAGACTCGGCTTAAAAATCTCCATAGGAGACTCCACCACAATTACATATGATTGAAGGGCATCCATCACACACATTGCTAGGACAGTGTAGCTAACTTTGAAACTATATCTATGTAAAGATACTGCTTGCCTAGATTCTCCCTTCTCTGTGTAAAGCTGTCCCTTCAATAATAGTTTATCTAGCTTATCTCCAGATAGGCATCATTGCCAAAATACCTCTTTATTTATCTATTTATCAACTTATCTATCCGAACGTATCTCAGCCTATCAGCCCACCAGGACCCTAAGATCTTCCGGAGAGTCCCTTCTCTCTATCCCTCCAGCTTCAGAAGTGCGGCTGGCGGGAACGAGAGACAGGGCCTTCTCTGTGGTGGCCCCCCGGCTTTGGAACACCCTCCCTATAGAGGTACGATCAGCCTCTTCGCTGATGGTGTTTAGGAAGAGACTCAAAACTTGGCTGTTCAAACAAGCATTCGGCTAATCTGTGGCAATTCGAATATTGATGACTAAGGACAGGAAACTTGGACAACGAACTCTGGATTGTGATTTTAACTCGAGCTATATGGGATTATTATTGGTGGCCCAATAATTTGTTATTGTATGTGTATATGTTTTTAAATTGTAGACTGTTTTAACTGCTGTAAACCGCAATGAGTCGCCGTTCCAGGCTGAGATATTAGCGGTATACAAGTGTACCAAATAAATAAATAAATAAATAAATAAATTTATTAGGGCCAAATAAAAGGAAGATAAGCTTGAGTTTCACATAATTCTTTCATAGGTTTAGTGGTAAACAAAAGAAGGGGTGGTGGTCATATAATCCCATTTTCCTTTTTTATAATGGCAAAATCTTATTCTTTTAGATTATTTTTTTAAGAGGAGCATTAATTAATGTAGGTCACTGGTAAATGCAAAACCCTTGTGAAGATTCTTGCCCAAAAAAGTTAAGGAATAGAGGTTTGGGGAGTTTCTTCCAATGTTATAATTCTTAATGGAGAAGGAGGAGTTGCACAAGATGGTTTGAGAAACACTGCATTGTGCAATGATGCTTAAAAGCAAGCAAACTCTTTATTGCCCCACATCCTGGGAGGCTGGCAACTGAAATACTAGCACAGTTCAGAGGTGCTCAGCTTGTGAAATGTCAAGACTGACGTGTAACAGAGGGATTGGAGAGGAAGCAATAACAATATGTAACAAAATTTGAAAATATTTTCTGTTCCTAGTTTGAAAGTGTTATTTCCTGTTTAATTGTGCAGTCCTTATTTTGAAAGTAGTTTTTCTACTGCAGAAACTTTGTTTTTCGTACCAGAAAATATGTTGAATTCGTTGACACTCTATGAGACATTCATTGAAAAACTATAGCAAAATATGCTATGGCATATTTCCACAGATGTCCCTTCCACAGAAACAAAGTTTTTGCAGTTTAATCAACTTTTCTCATGGTATTATGATAGAAACAATTAGGAAATGACATTTATAACCCAGGAACAAAAAATCGTGTTGCATAGTTTAATCAACACTTGCTGTGTACTTCAGCATTGTGTTGTCGAAGGCTTTGAAGGCTGGAATCACTGGGTTACTGTAAGTTTTTTGGGCTGTATGGCCATGTTCCAGTAGCATTCTTTCCTGACATTTCACATGCATCTCTGGCTGGCATCCTCAGAAGTCTGCTTGAAATTAGGCAAGTAGGCTGCATATATACCTGTGGAGTAATGTCCAGGGTGGGAGAAATGTTTGCTCCATCAATGTTGATCATTTACGCAAATGATCAGCCAGTGCCAGATGGGACAAAGAGTTTAATCTATGCTGATGATTGTACCATCACTGCTCAAGCAAGGAGCTTTGAAATGGTTGAAGAGAAACTCTTCGAAGCTTTAGGTCAGTGGTTCTCAACCTTACTAATGCCGCAACTCCTTAATACAGTTCCTCATGTTGTGGTAACCCCTAACCATAACATTATTTTCATTGCTACTTCACCACTGTATGAATGCCATGTAAATATCTGAGATACAGGATGTATTTTCATTCACTGGACCAAATTTGGTACAAATATCCTATATGCCCAAATTTGAATACTGGTGAGGTTGGGGGAGGGGGGGTTTATTTTTTCATTTGAGAGTGGTGGTTGCTGGGATTTATAGTTCACCTACAATCAAAGAGCATTCTGAACTCCACCAATGATGGAATTGACCCAAACTTGTGGCACACAGATCCCCCATGACTAACAGAAAATACTGGAAGGGTTTGGTGGGCARMGACCTTAAGTTTTAGAGTTACTATTCATATTTTGTAAGTTAAACTGAATTGATTCCGATTCTGTTAAATTTTTCTGTTTTCATGATATTTCCTATACTATTATATGTTTCTATCCATCTTATTGAACCACTTACCCTGCAAGGAAGACTCCAGCAATACATGGAGCGAGAGTTGCCAGATGTTCAAGCTGGGTTTAGAAAAGGCAGAGGAACGAGAGACCAGATTGCCAATATCCGCTGGATAATGGAGAAAGGCAGGGAGTTTCAGAAAAACATCTACTTCTGCTTCATTGACTATTCTAAAGCCTTTGACTGTGTGGATCATAATAAATTGTGGCAATTTCTTGGTGGGATGGGCATCCCAAGCCACCTTGTCTCTCTCCTGAGGAATCTGTACAAGGACCAAGTAGCAACAGTCAGAACTGACCACGGAACAACAGACTGGTTCAAGATTGGGAAAGGCGTACGGCAAGGCTGCATCCTCTCACCCAACCTTTTTAACTTGTATGCAGAACACATCATGCGAGGATGTGCGGGGCTTGACGAATGCAAAGCTGGGGTGAAAATTGCTGGAAGAAACATTAACAACCTCAGATATGCAGATGACACCACTCTGATGGCCGAAAGCGAGGAGGAGCTGAGGAGCCTTCTAATCAAGGTGAAAGAAGAAAGCGCAAAAGCCGGGTTGCAGCTAAACATAAAAAAAACCAAGATTACGGCAACAAGAATGATTGACAACTGGAAAATAGAGGGAGAAAATGTGGAGGCCGTGACAGACTTTGTATTTCTAGGCGCAAAGATGACTGCAGATGCAGACTGTGGCCAGGAAATCAGAAGACGCTTCCTTCTTGGGAGGAGAGCAATGTCCAGTCTCGATAAAATAGTAAAGAGTAGAGACATCAGACTGGCAACCAAGATCCATTGCCTAGTCAAAGCCATGGTATTCCCTGTAGTAACCTACGGATGTGAGAGCTGGACCTTAGGGAAGGCTGAGCGAAGGAAGATCGATGCTTTTGAGCTGTGGTGTTGGAGGAAAGTTCTGAGAGTGCCTTGGACTGCGAGAAGATCCAACCAGTCCATCCTCCAGGAAATAAAGCCCGACTGCTCATTGGAGGGAAGGATACTAGAGACAAAGTTGAAGTACTTTGGCCACATCATGAGGAGACAGGAAAGCCTAGAGAAGACAATTGCTGGGGAAAGTGGAAGGCAAAAGGAAGAGGGGCCGACCAAGGGCAAGATGGATGGATGGCATCCTTGAAGGGACTGGACTGACCTTGAAGGAGCTGGGGGTGGTGACGGCCGACAGGGAGCTCTGGCGTGGGCTGGTCCATGAGGTCACGAAGAGTCGGAGACGAATGAACAAATGAACAACACCCTTTAATCAGCTCGCATATCGGCCTCCTTCCCCTTCCAAAATTAGTCTGTTGTTGCTTGATGCTTATTATTGTTATGTTGTGTTATGCTATTTTAAATTGTAATTTCTTATTGTTCTGCTTTAATTGTGCCTGGGCTTGGCCCCATGTAAGCCACCCCAAGTCCCCTCAGGGTGTTTTGGACTTCAACTCCCACAATTCCTAACAGCCTACCAACATTAATAACACAGGAACAAAACCATAGTGTGGCATCAGGAAGAACAAAGAAGCAAGTGTTCAATGTATTCTCCATCCCATTTATGAGGGGCATGGGATCACAGAGTTGGAAGAGACCCCCAAAGGCCATCTAGTCCTGCCTCCTTCTACCAGACAGGAAGACACCACCAAAGCCTTCCCGAAGGATGGCCACCCAACCTTGGCTACAAAGTATGAGATGTATAGCTCAAGCTGGGAAAGCAATAGGTTTAAGAGCTCCCCCCCCCCCACAAAGGCCATCTAGTCGTGCCCCTTCTGCCAGACAGGAAGACACCACCAAATCCTTCTCGACAGATTCCCTTCTACCAGGCAGGAAGACACCACCAAAGCCTTCCCGACAGATGGCCACCCAACCTCGACTACAAGGGCTGGGATGTATAGTTCAAGCTGGGAAAGCAATAGGTTTGAGAGCTCTCCCCCAAAAGGCCATCTAGTCGTGCCCCTTCTGCCAGACAGGAAGACACCACCAAATCCTTCTCGACAGATTCCCTTCTACCAGGCAGGAAGACACCACCAAAGCCTTCCCGACAGATGGCCACCCAACCTCGACTACAAGGGCTGGGATGTATAGTTCAAGCTGGGAAAGCAATAGGTTTGAGAGCTCTCCCCCAAAAGGCCATCTAGTCGTGCCCCTTCTGCCAGACAGGAAGACACCACCAAATCCTTCTCGACAGATTCCCTTCTACCAGGCAGGAAGACACCACCAAAGCCTTCCCGACAGATGGCCACCCAACCTCGACTACAAGGGCTGGGATGTATAGTTCAAGCTGGGAAAGCAACAGGGGGGAATTCTGGGATGTATAGTCCAAAGCCCTACCGGCGTGTGCCCGTCCCCTGACTCTGCTGACGAAGATAATCAGCGCCAACAAGAGCGCCGCCGCTGAGACGTAAAGCACGGCGTCCATCTTTAAGCACGTGACCCTTTCCTGTCACTAGCCACGCCCCCTCATTTGCAAAGTGGTTTTCTCTGACCAATCCAAAGCTTGGTTTGGAATCAGAGGCGGGGCTGGAAAGAAGCCGCGCCCCCTTCTTTGATCCGGCGTCCAATCAGGTCACTTAGGACGACGGTGAGTGTGAACGTCGTAGTGCGTCGTAGCGTAGCAACGAAAGAGGACCCCTTATTTTGACACTCGCCCCGCCCCTTTTCATAGCTGGCTAATCCAGTGCCTGTTTGGGGAAAGATCCCCAGGATTCCCAAGCCTTGAGCCAGAAAAAGTGGAAGTGGGGCCAAAGTGCATTAATTCTGCATTTTAATACTAAACCCTTTTTCCAGTCATTCTTATTCAATGAGGTGGGATTTTCCATCTTCCCCACCAGATGTCACTACAGGCCTTTAAGGAGAAGAGAAAAGGACTGGAGACAGAAAAAGGACTTTTCCCAAACTTCACAAAAAGAAGACCAGTTTCAATGTGTTCCAGCAAATGTTTTATTCCAAATCAACAATATTTTCAAGTGGATCTTTACAGGTCAGAGCAGTAATATGCCTTTTAATAAACACACTGGGTCATCCAGTCATAGATATTGTGCTGGTACGGCTGTACCAGCACAATATTGAATGTTTGCATGTATTCCAAAGTTCCATGCATTTTGCAATAAGGTGGCTTCCCTTGGTTTGCAATAATAGACCCATCAATTATCATTATGTTATTTAGTTCCGCCCCTTTTTCTGGGTTTGGGAAGGGAAAAAGGGGACCTCTAGTTCAGTTCACACAGAGAAGCCTTTCGTACAGGACACGAATCAGTTCCACCTGTAGAAAGCTTCATCTTTTACAGCTTTGCTGGGAGATCCAGTCCCACAGCTCTACAGAGAACTACAGCATAGCCTTCGCAGGGGAATTTAGTTCCACAACTCTACAGTCAGCCTTTGCTGGGAATTGAAAGCCTTCTTTCCTGTTGGAAATTATTATTATTATTATTATTATTATTAAACTTTATTTGTACCCCGCTAGCATCTCCCGAAGGACTCGATGCGGCTTACATAGGCCAAGGCCTCAAAACACAACACAACAATACAACACCTAAAGCAAATTAAAAACAGTTAAGCAATATTAACAACAAGCAATAAACAATACATCAAGACACTATAAAACTGGGCCGGGCCAGAGTAATGGGTACAAGATTAAAAGTGCTGATGTGGCAGGAGGTATGTAGGATTATAAGGTAAGTGCAGTGTGCGGTGTGCAGCAATCTTAGTTCTACTAAAGTGCTTCTGGGACTTGGTATTGGAGATTCCTAATCTGGGAAGGCACATCGGAACAGCCAGGTCTTCAAGTTCTTTCTGAAGACTGCCAATGTAGGGGCCTGTCTAAGATCTTTTGGGAGGGCGTTCCAGAGTCGGGGGGCCACCACGGAAAAGGCCCTATCTCAAGTCCCCACCAAGCGCGCCTGCAACGCAGGCGGAATCACGAGCAGGGCCTCTCCGGATGAACGAAGTGAACGTGTGGGTTCATAGACGGAGATGCGGTCACGCAGGTAGGATGGTCCCAAACCGTTTAGGGCTTTGAAGGTAAGCACCTGCACCTTAAATTGGGCTCGGAAAATAAACGGCAGCCAGTGGAGCTCCTTGAACAGGAGGGCCTCTACTAGGAGGGAAATCTACTAAAGGACTCTGTTTGGTAAGGACCACTTGCGGCAGCCATAATGCAATTTGGACAGGGGGAAGGGGCCCACGCCAGCAGAGCTTAAGTCAGATTGCCCAGGGAGGGGTCAAGGATTTCCCTTGTAGGAGGGAAGAAACAGTTTATGAAGAAAGTTGCCTGTCCCTTGTGGACAAGATTTAAGCAAGCCACCAGTTGATTCAAAGCCTTGAAGTATTTGTTTGATTTATTGAAGATTTAAGCAACAATAAAAACTTTGTTGAACTTTCTAAGTCTTTAAAAGAACTTTGTGTGGGGAAATCCAAAAGGCCTCTCAGCCGAGGCACCCCCGGCGTCCCGTTGGGCATTCAGAAAACACGTCCTGTCTGTAGACTCTTTCACAGGCCCAGCGCGTGACAGGACAGATATAGATAGATATATATGATTCACACACAGAGAGAGATATAGTATCATAGATTTGAAAGGGACCCCTAAAGAAGGACAATGATATGTTGCATGTTCCAGAGTAGGCAAACCAGACACTCTCCACATCAAGACTGACAAAGAAACAGCAAGAAATACTGTTTACCCACAAGCATAAAGAAATTACATATATTAGAAACCAACACTTTCTCATTACTTTATTTTCCAGATCACCAGACTGGGCCACAGCAACGAGTGGCAGGGGATGGCTCTGTAGAATAATGTCCAGGGTGGAAGAAAGGACCCTTTTCTGTTTGAAGCAAGTGTGAATGTTGCAATTAGCAAGCTTGGTTAGCATTGAGTAGCCACGAAGCTGCAAAATCAGTCAGTGAGGGTATATACATAGAGGTGGCCTGGCTGTTGTTGCCTGCAGGCATCCTCTGGGAGGTGTTAACTGGTACTTGGTTGTTGGCTATCTGGAGTTCCCATGTTTCTGAGTGATGTTATTTATTCACAGTCTTGATTTTGGTGTTGACCAAGACTGCAACCTCGTTTGCTCAGAGAGGTGTAATAGCCTCTAGATAAGTCCTTTGGACTCCCGTGCAAAGTGTATAAGCTGTGATGGTATATAAATCCGGAGTTTCAGGGTGCGGTGTCATCTGTACGCAGATGATGTCCAACTCTGTTACTCCTTTCCACCTACTACTAAGGAGGCTGTCCAAGTCCTGAACCGGTGCTTGGCCGCTGTGACGGACTGGATGAGGGACAACAGAGAAACTAAATCCAGACAAGACAGAGGTACTCCTGGTCAGTCGCAAGGCCGAACAGGGTATAGGGTTACAGCCTGTGTTGGATGGGGTCACACTCCCCCTGAAGACGCAGGTTCGCAGCTTGGGTGTGATCTTGCTGAGCCTGGAACCCCAGGTCTCGGCGGTGGCCAGGAGAGCTTTTGCACAATTAAAACTTGTGCGCCAGCTGCGCCCGTACCTTGGGAAGTCTGACTTGGCCACGGTGGTCCATGCTTTGGTTACATCCCGTATAGACTACTGCAACGTTCTCTATGTGGGGTTGCTTCTTAAGACTGCCCGGAAGCTTCAATTAGTTCAATGTGCGGCAGCCAGGTTACTAACGGGAGCGGGGTACAGGGAGCATACTATTCCTCTGTTGCACCAGCTCCACTGGCTGCCAGTCAGCTTCTGAGCACAATTCAAAGTGCTGGTCTTAACCTATAAAGCCCTAAACGACTCCGGCCCAATTTACCTGTCTGAACGTATCCTCCCCTATGAGCCATCAAGATTACTAAGATCGTCTGGAGGGGCCCTGCTCTCGATCCCACCGGCCTCACAGGCGTGGCTGGTGGGGACGAGAGACAGGGCCTTCTCGGTGGTGGCCCCTCGACTCTGGAACTCCCTTCCACTGGAGATCAGAACTGCCCCTTCTATCTTAACATTCAGGAAACAGGTGAAAACTTGGCTTTGGGGATTGGCATTAACGAATGAGCCATGATCCTGTGATATGGATGGATGACGACGAATAATGACTTTGATGACGACTGACCACTGTAATCATATGATTGTATTTTTGCCATTTTAATTGTTTCAATGTTTTAATGTTTTAGTGTGATTTAGAAATATGATGTTTTAATGATGGTCTGTAATATTGATGTTGGAAACCGGCCCGAGTCCCTTGAATGGAGGTGAGAAGACAAAACTACCAAATAAATAAATAAATAAATAAATTCTAAAAGTTCAATGCCCTGCTGATTATATTTGACATCCATAGAGGAATGTGAAGTTAGAAAGATATCCTCCAAATCTAGACCTAAGGATTGCAAAAGGCCTATAAAGCCCTTAACGGTTCTAGCCCAGTTTACTTGTCTGAATGTATCTCCTGCTACGATCCACCTAGGGCCCTAAGATTATCTGGGGAGACCCTGCTCGTTGTTCCCCCAATGTTGCAATTGCGTCTGGCAGGGGCAAGGGACTGGGTCTTTTCTGTGGTGGCCCCTCACCTATGGAACCTCCTCCTGAGTGAAATTAGATCTGCCGGATCCCTCTTGACCTTCCGGAAACAAGTAAAATCCTGGCTATGGGATCAGGCCTTTGGAGAATAGGCTGACCTACTGACATGTTGACTTACTTAGAACTGATGGACTGCCCTTGGATAATGATTTAAATCAGTGACCGCTGACTATTTGTTGTCTGTTTTTATATTGTTTATACTGTTTTATATTGTTGTTATTATTACATTGCTGTTAATTGTATATTTATGTTTTGATGTGGCCAAAATCCACCATTTAGAAATCTGGGATCAGTTGGTCCCTTTGGGAAAATGAGGCAAAATTAGACCTTGGAAGTGTTACCTTGTCGGATTGCAGCACCCATTATCCACTGTTTTGCATGGTACACGATCACTAGCTTTTGGCACACCTGCAAACCATTCGGTACAGCAAACAATCATTTTCTCTGCTAGGTATAATGTGTTTGCACCTACCTGCGCAATGGAGGGGAGGAAACCCTTTTGTTTGCCTATCTGTATTAGCCTTTTATGTAGGAACATATGCGCAAGTGACAGTTATTCTTCTGCAGGGAAACTGATGATATTACAATTGTGGGATTGATAAGGGGACGCATACAGTGAGCAAGGGAGAAGTGGGATGGAGAATGCTATCTACCGATAAGTGCACTATTAAGCTTTAATGGGGCCCGTTTGCTAAGCGTTCAGCTGCCTTGCTTTTTGAAAGAGGATTTTAATGCTGAGAGATCTGCCATTTGCTTCAAGTTAACAAAAACATGGCACACTATTAAGTCCAGCAGTTGTATCAATTAGGGGACTTGGAGATCGGTAGAATAATAATAATAATAATAATAATTATTATTATTATTATTATTATTATTATTATTATTGTGTCAGGAGTCTGCAAGTTGCTTCTGGTGTGATAGAATTGGCCATCTGCAAGGACGTTGCCCAGGGGATACCTGGATGTTTTGATATTTTACCATCCATGTGGAATGCTTCTCTCATGTCCCCACATGGAGAGCTGGAGCTGACAGAAGGAACTCACCTGTGCTCTCCCCGGATTGAAGCCTCTGATCTGTCGGTCTTCAGTCCTGCTGGCACAAGGGTTTCATCCCCCCCACCGCCACCACACACACACACACACACACACACACACAAAACATGCACACGGATGAACACCTTCTTTCTCTGGAGTCTGTACAATGGAAAAGTTGAGAAGGGGCGATGTAACTTTGACTGAAAACAGCTTTAAAGGCAAAAATGCCAAAATGGCAATATAAAAATGAGTTCCAAGAGTTTCGTCAAAATTGGTTACATCTACACTAGAGAATTAATGCAATTTGATACCACAATAACTGCAAATGCTCAGTGCTGTTTGCCCATGCCTGTTATAGCATTGTGCAAATAGTAGTTTTGCAAGGTCTTCTCTTTTTTTGCCTTCTTTGCAAAAGAGTTGTACCACATTTTTGCCCCTTTCCTGCTGCTCACTCTTTCTTTCCTCCTTTCCTAGAAATTCTGGACCATAAACCATCTCTTTGAGTAACACCATTCCAGGAAATGGGATGGACAATATAACCATGGACTATTTTAGGTCCTTTACTTAACCAGAAGATCGAGGAACCCTTTGAAACCAACCACCCCCAAAAGGTCTCCTGTCCTCCTTTGGTTCCCTGCACTGGATTGCTTTCTTTTGACCCAGATAAGCATTCCGAGCTCTGAGGATTACCTGGGAAGGAATCCCACTGGAGCATTGCAGTGCACCCAAATACCTGGGAGTCACTCTGGACCGTGCTCTTACCTACAAGAAGCACTGCCTGAACATCAAGCAAAAAGTGGGTGCTAGAAACAATATCATACAAAAGCTGACTTGCACAACCTGGGGATCACAACCAGACACAGTGAAGACATCTGCCCTTGCGCTTTGCTACTCTGCTGCTGAGTATGCATGCCCAGTGTGGAACACATCTCACCCCACTAAAACAGTAGATGTGGCTCTTAATGAGACATGCCGCATTATCATGGGGTGTCTGCACCCTACACCACTGGAGAAATTACACTGTTTAGCCAGTATTGCACCACCTGACATCCGCTGGGAAGTAGCAACCAATAGTGAAAGGATCAAGGCAGTGACATCTCCAGCTCATCCCTTTTTTTGAGTATAAGCCAGCATGCCAACGACTTAAATCAAGAAATAGTTTTCTAAGAGCTACAGAGACACTCGCTGGAACACCCCAGCAAGCGAGAGTCTAAAAGTGGCAGGCTCAAACCCAGAACCTCAATCAATGGCTGATACCAAATGAGATACTCCCCCCTGGGCACACAGAAGACTGGGCGACTTGGAAGGTGCTGAACAAACTGCGCTCTGGCACCACGAGATGCAGAGCCAACCTTAAGAAATGGGGCTACAAAGTGGAATCCTCGACATGCGAGTGTGGAGAAGAGCAAACTACAGACCACCTGCTGCAATGCAACCTGAGCCCTGCCACATGCACAATGGAGGACCTTCTTATAGTAACACCAGAGGCACTCCAAGTGGCCAGTACTGGTCAAAGGACATTTAATCAACTACCAAGCTTGCAAACTTTGTGCTTTGTTTGTTTGTTTGTTTGTTAAAAAATGCAATACAACTGTTTGGTTTACTCCTGACACGATAAATAAATAAACCCAGCTCTTTGATTCTGGTTGTCTGGAATACCCTTTCCCTCCACAGTTCCCTTTAGTAGGACTACCTGAAACAGGCCAGATGGGAAGGCATTGACCTCCTTTCCATGAGAGCGGAGATGAAATATGAAAGCTGAAGGTGAGATATCCCAGAGTTGGTGAAGTGAACAAAACAAACAGAAGCAAAAAAAAGTAAGCGAATATCCCCCAGCAGCAACTACATATGTCTGGATTCTAAACATGTTTGAATCCTGACTTCTTTGCAGTCTTCTTATATTTTTGTCCACGAATAAAGAAGCAGAATGCATATTCCAGAAATCCAAGTATTGGTATGTTGAGGAAATACAGTATGGCCCACATTCTGGACATCACATGGATATACAAAACCAGGTGTAATGGTGAACCCTATAGACATGAAGGTCATCTGGTCCAATAGTGCCATATAGTCATTTCGGAGGACTTAGAAGATGTCTAGAGAGGACATATTTTGCTGGGCATGAATGAATGGACCCCCAGATATCAATCCTGCTTGTTATATCATATTGACTTTAAGAGGATAAACTTCTCAGCTTGTGGACTTCTCTAGTAGGAACCAAGTTCTTGCGGATAGCATTAAGCATTTTCATCCAACAAGAGTTCACTGTGAGAGCCACCCTCCTAAGACGTGCTTTGCACCTTGGTGGACATTGGATATCTGAAGCACCAGCACGCCTCCATCAAATACTCTCTGACTTTTCTGTAGCCGAACACCACAACATACGAGCTGGCCGAGTAATAAATAGAAGACAGGATGCCGTAGAGCTCGTTGAGGATGCTGTTCTCAAAATCACTCTTGATGTACCCAGACATGATGGCTATCCATACCAGGTCATTGGAGATCCAGCAGACCACATAGATGCAGAGCAAAGACAGCAAGACCTTGGTGGCCTGGGCAGTGTGCTTGTTCCATCCATTGCTGGTGACCGAGGTGGTGGCCTCCACCTTCCTGCTGTGCTTATAGAGGAGGTCAATAATGAAGCCATTGAGGACGATGACCAACACAATTAAGGCGAGGTCCAAGCTGATGGACAAGTAAGTGGTGACCTTCATAGCCAAACTCTCTGTGGACCCTAGGCAGGTCGAAGTACTCAACCAGATGATGGTTACATTGTCTTTGTGATTTGTTTTCTCATACTGCAAATAAGGGATCTGTAGGAGGATGCTGGCTATCCAACAACCAGCAAGAGTGCCGTTGACGTATTGTCCCTGGTGCCGATAGATGAACTTTGACCACCGGTGATTGGGCCTTCGGATCTTGATGAGGTGGAGGAAGCTCAGGTTCTCTACAGACCAGATGCTGATCAGCCTCAATGTATGGTACGAATAGAGAAGGATCCTGCAGCCCAGCTCATCCAAAATGTTGGCTCTGGTATAAAAGAGCAAGCTGGGAATTGTCTTGTAGCAACAGAGAAGGAAGTTCACCAGAGCCATGTTGATAATGATGCGGTCCAAAGGCTGCACAGCTTTGTTTCGGACAGCGTTGCTGATGAAGGCAAAGAGGACAATGAGATTGCCAATCATGCCGACGATGGACGATAGGCTAAGGACGATGGACGTGGTGAATATGAAGCTGTGGCCCATGGTGGCGCAAGTCTTCTCTTACGCATCTCCTAACTAGGTTTTCCTCCTTTGATTGCTGCTGAAGTTGTTTTCCCAACTCAGGAGGATCATGAGCTTTTTTATATGCCACCTTTCCCTCTCAACACACTCACACCCCTTGAGTTACTCAGGCCCATAATTACTCTGTTATTTGTCTAAGCTTTGTTATCTCCCCTGCTGAAAAGGGTCAGGTGTAAAGCAGATTAGCCAATGATTCATCACTCCATGTGCTAAAACCTAGAGAAGCGGGGAAGAGAATTACGGAAGCCACCTTTCAATATATAAAATCTCTAATTTTTCCTTTTTGAATGTATACTTTTTCACCCTCATCACTAAGCCATTGAAATATGATTTACAGCCTTTTATTTGTAAAAATGAACCAAAATACTATTCTTAGTCCCAACTAGAGCAGAATCATGGCACTGCAAAATGAATGAAGTTTGATACCACTTAATAATAATAATAATAATAATAATAATAATAATAATAATAATAATAACTTTATTTATATACCACTCCATCTCTCCGAGGGGACTCAGAGCAGTTCCCAGGCAACATTACAAAACATTCAAAGTAAAACAACTGGCATTACAACTGATCACAAAGACCTCTGTCTTGTCTGGATTAACCTTCAGCTTGATAGCCCTCATCCAATCCATCACAGCTGCCAGGCACTGGTCCAGGATCCAGGGGGCTTCCTTGGATTTCAGTGGAAAGGAGTAATAGAATTAAGTGTAGCCTGTGTACAGATGGCACTGAACTCCAACACTCTGGATGACCTCTCCCAGCAGTTTCATGTAGATATTAAAAAGCATGGGGGATAGAATGGAACTTCTATGGTATGTCAGTTTTTTGGAGAGCTATCTCTGGCAGTTTCATGTAGATATTAAAAAGCATGGGGGATAGAATGGAACTTTGTGGGACCCCACAGACCAAAGACCAAGGATCTAAGCAGGTGTCCCTCAGCTTCACCAACTGGGTGTGAGCCTTCAGACCCATTCTGGAGAGCTGCCCCAGAAGGATATCATGGTTGATTGTGCCGAAAGTCACCAAAATGTCCAAGAGAACCAAAAAGGACACACTCCTCCTGTTGAGCTCTCTGCGGAGGTCATCAATCAAAGCAACCAAAGCCATCTCCATCCCAAGACCAGGCCTAAAACTAGACTTATTATGTGATTTCAGCTCCGCTAAACCTGCGGGTTTGGGGCCTGGAGTACCAAGTTTCCAAATAACCCATAAACGGGTTGAAGACAAAATGCAGAGGTTTTATTCTCAATGGCCAGAGAGGACTTCGGCAGAGATAGCTCTCCAAAAAACTGACATACCATAGAATCATAGAGTTGGAAGAGACCTCATGGGTCATCCAGTCCAACCCCCTACCAAGTAGCAGGAAAATCACGTTCAAAGCATCCCCAGTACCTCAATACAAACATGTAGAAATATTTATAGCAGTTTGATACCTATTAAAGAATACCACACTAGCATATGTCCATTTACTGATTCGTCCAGGAGAGAGGCTCACTCGAAAGGGAATGTGATGGTGCAAATGATAACAGGCTGAAATGGGTCTTGATAGCTCAGTTCTGATCAATACAATGAGTGTCAGTCCAGAGAAACGAAAAGGTGTTTAGGATGTTGGTCATTTCAGTGGGAGTCCCAGGAAGGGGTTTGGTTTGGTGATGGGGATGAGGAAGCGTTTCCAGGGGAAAATCTAATCATATCAAGGGAAATAGGAGAAGACCCTTAGGCTCTTGCTTGCACAATTTTGTTGTGTGTCCCCAAGTCTTCCTGGTATACTGTGAGGGGATTATGAAAATTATCCCCTCAACTTTCCAGGGGAACATTCCAAGGGGAAATTCATGAAAGGATACTATAGAAGGCAATAGAGAAGGCAATGCGGGTTGCTGTATGTTTCAGTGGAACTGCAGGTCATAATTTATAATTTATAAATTATTAGCCATCCCCTACCATGCGTTGCAGTGGCCCAGTCTGTGTATATGTGTTGTGTGTGTATATATATGTGTGAGTTTATGTGTGTACATATCTGTGTGTGTGTGTATATATATATATGTGTGTGTGTGTGTGTGTATAGGTGTGTATATATTTGTGTATTTGTGTGTTTATATGTGTTAATGCATATTGTGTATATGTGTTTGCTTGTTGAAATTGAACCAAATATGGCACACAGAACTCCCACAACGAACAGAAAATATATATCAGTGATTGGTGGTAAGCTGTTTGCTTACTGTTGAAAATTACCTAGGGCCACCTCTGTATGTTTCTTTTAAGTGCTAGTGGCGTAGTGGGTTAAAGAACTGAGCTGCAAAGCTTGTTGACCAAAAGGTTGCAGATTCGAATCTGGGGAATGGCGTGAGCTTCCGCTGTCATCCCCAGCTTCTGCCAACCTAGCAGTTTGAAAACATGCAAATGTGAGTAGATCAATAGGTACCGCTCCGGTGGGAAGGTAACAGCGCTCCATGCAGTCATGCCGGCCACATGACCTTGGAGGTGTCTACGGACAACGCTGGCTCTTCGGCTTAGAAATGGAGATGAGCACCACACCCCAGAGTCAGACATGACTGGACTTAATGTCAGGGGACTACCTTTACCTTTATGTATATATATATATGTGTGTGTGCATGTGTATATATGTGCGTATGTATATGTATGTATGTGTATATGTGTATATTTGTGTGTGTTTGTGCATATATATGTGTGTGTATATGAATGTGTATTTTGGGTTTTTAAAAGTCTGCTCCACTGGGGTTTTGTGTGTGAGTGTGTGTGTGTGTGTGTATGTGTGTGTGTGTGTTTTTTTTTTAGGGGTGATGGACACTTGTTGGACTGTTAGGTGCATTGTGTCCAAATTTCGTGTCAATTCATCCACTGGTTTTTGAGTTATGTTAATCCCACAAATCAACATTACATTTTTATTTATATAGATGCAGATTTATAATTTATAATTCTGGGGTCTAATTTTTTTATAACACCCTAGCAGTTCAAGTGGAATCAATCTGCATTAATTCTACAGTATAGATGCCCCTTTTGTCTCAAAAATCCCTTTTCAATGGTACTGTATCCAACACTGTTTGCCTTCTTTAAAATGACGACAACAATGACATCATGGCATTAGGTCTTTAAGAAACATAATCAGGCTTTTCCTACTTGAGCACATGGTGTACAATTTCTAGTATGTTCATGGTTTCGGTGGTGGTTGCAGTGAGTATCTGCACTATTGGCATACTCAACATTACCATCATTTTTGGTCTTTTCCTAAGGACAGATGCAATGAGAACACACAGCTGGCTACTGAAGACTCATACAGGACATCTCTTGGAAACCGGGTGGCTTTTTTGTTCTTGGTTGCTGGGAAATCTACAGAGCTGAGCAGTCTTTATTCAGAGGGGAGCTTCCAGTAAAGAGCTGGCGTCACACAGCCATTGAGGCAAGGGCACAATACCCCAGTAATTTGTCATTAGCCAGTGACAGGTTTAATTCTTTGCACTGATAAATTTCCCTAATTACCTGTATTAAAAAAAGACTTTTAAAACATGAGCAGGGATAATTAAGGAGAACTCTGCGAACTTCATCCACAAGCAGAATGCTGAACCCAGGAATATTCTTCTATGATTCATACATTACCTGAATATATCAATTTTGCTCTGCTTTGCATGCCCCCAAAGGCTCCTAGAATTTATAGGTTTGGAGCCCCCGGTGGCGCAGTGGGTTAAACCCCTGTGCTGGCAGGACTGAAGACCAACAGATCACAGGTTCGAAGCCGGGGAGAGGGGTTTAACCCACTGCGCCACCGGGGGCTCCAAACCTATAAATCCCAAAACAGCTGATGTGGTTGGCTGTAAAGAAATGGAGCCACAGATACACAGGTGGCAAAATGGAAGCACAATTGGAAAGCAATTTTCATGCGAACTCTCTGCAACCATTCCTTGGTTCTCATGTTTATGAAATTAAACTGGGTTTGAATTTATATGGTGGCTGAAGGGAAATGGGATTCGAGAGTCAAAAAGTAAAGGCAGCAGAAGGATGAGGCGAGTCAATGACAAGAAATCTGCTTCTGTGCACATTTATATATCTGCATCAGCATTTATGAGGTCCAGCACATATCAGAGAGGCAATTTTGATAAATTAAAAGTAAACTTCCAGCAGATGTGCCACATCCATCTTGCAGATTTCTATGAGGGTTGAATGAAAAGTAATGCCTCCACCTTCATAACTCAACAGATGGCAGTACTGGTATGCAGGTACTGGCTTGTTCAGTAGACTCTCCTCTACAGTTCCATTTTGGCAGAAAGCCTTAGCATTGAACGGTTGTGTTGTTAGTGTGAAGTATGGAACCATGCACAGACAGAAAATTAATTGTTGACTTGCAAGTTATGTAAACTATTTGATGTCATTGTTTCTTTTTCAGCATTTAACAGTTAACTCACATTGGCACTTTCTTCCTTGACTGTGTTCTGTAATCATTCTAAGTCCTTGCTATCTTCTGTCATGGTGTCAGAGTTCTTCTCTAATCCTTCAAGCCAAAAATTGTCTTCATAAGCCCTTATTGTATTCATTCATATATTCATTCCCCTTTTAATCCTAGTTCTCCTTGCAAGAAATCCTTAATTATATGCATAGTTTATATCCAAGCTAGGCACCAGTTTTCTCCCTTTCCATCCAGTTTCATTCCCCCAAAACTGGGAAGGTATTTTGTATGTTTAATGGATGCTTAGGAGGGTTTAATGGGTGCTACCCCTCTATTCTGCTTTGGTTAGACCACACCTGGAATATTGTGTCCAATTCTGGGCACCACAATTCAAGAGAGATATTGACAAGCTGGAATGTGTCCAGAGGAGGGTGACTAAAATGATCAAGGGTCTGGAGAACAAGCCCTATGGTGAGGAGCTGGACATGTTTAGCCTGAAGAAGAGAAGGCTGAGAGGAGATATGATAGCCATGTATAAATATGTGAGAGGAAGCCA